GCGGGTGTTGGGGGCGGTCCCTTTCACTGCAAGGGCACCAGAGCAGTGGCCGTTCCCAGGCAGGGATGCTGCGTGCCTTCACTGGCAGGGGATGGTCAGCAAGATAAATCATGGTGAAAGGTGCCAAGGTCAGGTTTAAGTATGTAAAGAGCATCGCTATAACAGCTGCTAGATGGGGAGCATTGCTCCCATCAGCACAGCCAGCTGCAGCATGCAATCTGGTGGCTCCTCCAGTGGAGAGGAAAACAGCCTGGGTTTTCTCTGGCATCAGATGCACCCATATTTTAAGTGTTTGATTTGGCTCAGAATGCCAAAGTGAGCATCCTTGGTCTTGGCATGCTAGCAGTGGGGATTGTCTGGGGCAGGGATGGCAGTGACCCCACATCTCCCTGCCATGGCTGGGTTCATTTGCCGGCAGCAAGGTGCTCCTCCTCCCGGTCTGGGGACAGGGTGAGATTCCCCCACCAGTTACTTAGTGGTTGATCCAGGCTCTGCTTGCATTTCAGTTATTCATTGCCTTTTTTAGTGGCACAGACTGCCATGCACACCGCTGAGAGAACTGCTCTGCTGCATGGTCTCTGAGGCCGAGCAGTGCTGACAACTTATTGTTGGTGGGGTTTGGGCTTGCGCCTGGCTTAGAGCTGTCTTGCTCTCACCAGCTGTCTACACCCGGTGTGTACTGTGTCCGCATGCAGCATGCCTGTGGCTTTCTTTTTTTATCGGAAACTGGGAGAGGAAACTTCAAAAGCAAACCTTTAGATGCTTTGCAAAGCAAAATGTGTAGCCAGAATGGGAACACCCAGCTCCAGCCACCACCACTTAATTGCATGGCTCAGGCTGCCCTGCTACAGCTTCTTGATTTCAGCCTGGGGCGAGGCCCGTGGGAAAGCAGGAGACCCGGAGCAGCACCCAGACGCCATGCGTGGGGATGCTGCATGTCCTTCTCGCTGCTGGGAGGGCTGTGCTCCACTCCCACTGCTGACCACCTTCTCTCCCTGTCCCTGCAGGAGTCATCCCATGCAGGCACCAAGGCAGCTGGCCACCCCGCTGGAGCAGCTCCCGGGGACAGCCAGGCTGGGCCGGGAGGAGACCTCACGTCTTCCCAGCAGGTGTGGCTCAGGGGGGCTGGAGGGGAGCACCCATGGGCGGGGGCTGTGTCCACTGCATGCTCACTTGCATCCATGGGATGCCCTGCACCCTGTTTCTGCTTGCGAGTCTGCTGTGCAAGATGCCCATGGCTGGGCCAAGAATTAACCCAGCGGGAGGGTCAGAAGGGGCACCCCCAAAAAGGCAGCCTTGCCATGCAAGGTGCGGGGAGTTGCTCAGCTGTGCCCACGCCTGCCCCATGCCATGCAGAACTGAAAAGTTGCAACTTCCCTATGTTCAACTAATGCTGTGTTATTTCCCCCCTGCCAGGGCAAGGGCTGCCAAGGGCCCTGGAAGGGAGGCAGGAACAGTGCTGTCGTCAAGGGTGGTGACTCTGAAGATGAAGACAGCGATGAGAATGAGGAGGAGGAGGAGGAAGAAGAGGTAGTCGAGAATGAGAATGGCGTCAACGGCACAAGAACCAACACTACCGAGGGGGCAGATGGACCTCACGGCAATGGCACCATGGTGGCTGAGGAGGGCACCGGTGCAGCTGAGGAGGAGGAGGAAGAGGAGGAGGAAGAAGAAGAAGAAGAAGAAGAAGAAGAAGAGGAGGAAGAGGAGGAGGAAGAAACCGAAGCTACCACTGTTGCCAGCACCACCAGCGAAGAGGGGCTGTCTCAGGCGACTACCACAGAAGATGGAGGACCCACGGACACCACCACAGCTGGGGAGCAGTGGGAGTATGAGGTGACAGCAGGGGGCCACGGCCGGGGAGATGAGGGCACCACCGATGGCAACTATGGGGAGCAGGATGAGTACGCCCGTGGGGACAGCTACCGGGCCTACGAGGATGAGTACGGCTACTACAAGGGGCATGGCTACGATGTGTATGGCCAGGATTACTACTACAGCCAGTGAGTGGGTGGCAGGGCAGCCTTGGTGTGGCTGCCCTGTCCCGCTCAGGGACGTGCAGCCGAAGGCTCACCGCAGCCAAAGGGGATGCCAGGCAGCCTGCGGTGCACACTGGCTCCGTCACAGGCCTTTTTTTTGTATCTCACAAAGCGAAATGAAATAAAGCAACCGAACTGAGCATGTTGGTGATGGAGGGTTTGCTGCCGCAGTCAACGGGGCGGCACGATGCTTGGTGGGCTGAGGGGCCACAGGTGCTCATGCTGCTCCACATTAAATCTCTTTATTCCAGCTCAGATGCACACAAAAGGAGGGAGGAACAGAAAGGCTAGCTAGTAGTCTGTAGACTCCCATCCAAAAATGGAAGGGCATTTTTAAGGTCACTGCTGTGGGCTTACTGCCATGTCCTATGCGGATTTGATGTGAATTTGCAATATGTGGGTGACAACTTTGCCACATCTTCCACTCCTTGGTAGCACGCCTCCTGTGGCCTGACCACACACCAGGCAATATTCATAAAGGTGAAGACATTGATTTCTCTTTCCATGCATCACTAGCTAGCTGTAGATGCACACCCCTGTAATGAAAGCCTTACTTCTGCATCCCTGCGCCAGCCATGGGGGTCCCACTGAGGCTGGGCACCTCGGACATGTTTCAGGCACTGGTGCTGCAGCCCAAAAAGGCCAAAAGGTCCATGTCTATCCCCGCCACTCAGCCTCGTCCCCAGGGCAAGGTAGGCTTGTCACAGTGACAGCGGTGCACCCACTTGCCTCCTGCATCAGGGATGGGGATGCCCAGCTTGCGGTCCCCAGGATCCCTGTCCAGAGTCACCTCCCCGTTGCGAGTGTGGCCCCAGACAACTGGGGATCAGCACCAGGGATGGGGAAGGACCAAATCTTGTGGCGTTCCAGGCAGGTGCCCCCATTTAGGAAAAGCAATGGCCCTCACACACAGGTTACAGCAGGTACCGCACTGCCCTCGTGCTCTTGGAAAGCAGACCTGTGTTCAGCTCCCGATACAGGTCTAACTGCAGAAGAAGTTTCTATTCTCACAGCAGCAAGCTGCTGGCTGCCACCAGAGTGGCAAGGGGTGCTACCTGCAGGGTAGGCACCTCCGGGGCCAAATCCCTACCGCAGCACTGAGGAGCCCTGCACATGCTTGCAGCTGGTGGGGGGACGCAAGAGCCCTGTCGTCCACATCCCCAGGGGGTGCCCAAAGACGTCAAGGAACCAGCATGGACAAAGGGCCCTGGCACTGCTGTGGGCCGGGTCCCACTAGCACAGGGCGCCCAGCCTGGCCCCATGTGCGTCAGCCCTCCGGGCACCTGGCCAAAGCTCTGCTTCCCTGAGCTAAGGCGCACCGGCTGGCTGCACCGGTACCCGCTGGGCAGCATCCGACTGCAGCTCCCTGGCCAGAGGGAAAGTGCAAGATTCCTTCTGGCTCCGAGATTTTCTCCCACCTGAGGTTGGATGATGATGGTTTAAGCATTCCTGGCGTTAATGCAGAGATGGTGTCTGCTCCCAGGGTTTGAGCAGGGGCAGGGTGGTGGGTGAGGTGGGAGCTGTTGTCACCATTACCACAGTAAGCTGCTGAGCTAGGCTGGCCGCAACAGGGGGAACCCCCCCTTGGCATATGCGTAGGAGACCAGCAATACCACTGAAGCTAGAGGGGGGCAGGAGGAGAGTACCTATGTCAGGCACTTCCTTGTAGCACCTTCCGACAGCAAATGTGGGCTCAAAGTGACCTGTGTAAGCAGCACATTAAAAAAATCATTTTTTTTTTTCTTTTTTACCACTGTGCTATTTTGCACTTGCACTGGGCTTAGGTTGGGGGCAGGGATTGAGGTTGAAACCCAAGAAGCAAGTGTTGGAGGCTACTGTGTGGTGGTGGCTCTCAGCTTGGCCAGCGCTGACTTGCAGTGCTGGTCGTGGCTGTGACCAGGCCAGGCTCAGTGTATCGCCCTTTCCTTTCCGCAGCCCAGCCAGCTTTCCCATGTCAGTCACGGTGAGCACGCTACAGCCCACTGCACCCCCTCTTATCAATAACCAGCCTGGATGTGTGCCACACTAAGATCTGCGCTAATCATCGAGCAATTTCGCCTTCAGAACAGATATTTATAAACCATGCTTTCTGTTTATCCAGCCAGGTGGAACATTTGATAGCTGTCTTCCACCACAAACACATTTTTAGCTGGAAATTACTCCCCCTGGTTATCTGCGGGCACTGCCAGAACTGACAAATGTCCCTGGGCAGGAGCTGATTGGCTCCACGTGCCTGGGGCCAACTTTAAATTTCAGCAAAGTGGGCACAGCCTCCACGGTCTGCCACTGGGACCTGCCTCCGACGGCGAAAGGTAATCTTCTTACCTAGTTTGCCTGCTCTGTCTCTCCCCGGCCATTCAGCTTTGTCCTCCCTGAGCAGGGCATCTCCTGCTTTCACTCTGGGCAAGCTGCAGTGGGGATGGGGAGATTACCCAAGTCTCGGCTGTGCGTGTCTCCGCATCGCGCTTTCTTGAGCCTACGTTGCTTTGTACTGCTGATCCTTGTGCATGAATTGCCTTCCGATGTTTTCTGTAGCAATGCTTGCATGGCTGAAAACAGTCTCCAGGCTGGACCTGCAAGCCCAAGCCAGGGTGGATGGGTGCAATGAGTATTATTTGCCAACAGAGCTATTATCTCCTGCCATTTATCAGTGCTGTTGCAAACAGTGTGCAAGTTTCTTCATTCAGACTTAACGATGCATGGCTTAGCCTGCAGTGGTTTTGGTAGTCATTTATTGCAACTAAGCACCCAAGCTGCTTTGACAGAGAGAGTTAAGAAGCTTTAATGCCCGGTGTTGGAGTTCCCACTCGGTGCTGCTGGCCGTGCGATGTTGAGGGCCACCGCAAAGGCTGGGGAAAGCCGGGCTGGCTGGATAACCCCGCTGCCATGGGGGCTTTGGGACAGCAGGAGCTTTTTGGTTGCTGCTGACCAGGACTGTTGGGCACTGCAAGTCCCAGGAAGACAAACTCCAGTGATGCTTTGCTTTGTGTCCCCAGGAGCTGCCCAAGATGCAGACAGCCCTTGCGTGCCTGTGCCTGTGCCTGCTCAGCACGGCCCTCTCGACACCCGTGAGTATGGCTCTCCCCGGCTTCCCAGCGCGCCACCGAAAGCGTAGGGTGTACCACCTAGTGCGTCCTGGCATGCTTTCAGCAGCAGCAAAACAGGAGCTGTACTTGCATATAGCACCTCTGGGGCTTGGGGAGGGTTTTGAGGTGCTGGCACAGAGGTGAACTCAGCAGGTAAACCACATATTAGCACTTAGGTGCCTGAGCATGTCCCTTTAATCTAGCAGTTAGGGCATCGCGCAAGGGCTGGTCTAGGTCGCTGTGACTCTTCCCTTGATTCTGCGGATTTGGGATCTGCCCAGAGCTTTTGGCCTGAGAATGGCCCAAGCAGGGCCACAGAAAGGGAGGCACAGAGGGGATGCTCGCCTTACCCACTTGGGTAACAGGGGTCGGAGGGGCGCCTGCAATTATATTCCAGCTCTCCTAATGTGAAATTAGGACAGACACAACTCAAACAAAGGGCAAGGTGAAGTAAATATAATAGTAGCCATTTTTGTCCTGCATAACTGTTGCCCAGCATACTAAATACACAGCTAGAGTGAAAATCTGCTCTTATCGAAGGCTTGCTTTTCCAGCAGGGTAAGGAGGAGAACAACCACCTCTGCCCTGAGGGCTGGGCCTGGGCCGTGTATCCTTTAGCCCCCAGGGCAAGCTTGTGCTACTGGGTCTCTAAGCAGGGCAGCACAGAGAAAGGCAATAAATCAGTGCAGATTTGCTTTTCAGCTAGGGGCACAGAAGAGAGCCAGTTAATACTGTGCTGTGTAACCGGGGCTGTAATTGAGCCTTTGACATTGTTCACAAACATTGGAATAAGCTGGGAATATTTAATACTCTTGGGTGCATTTCTGCCCCTTTCAGCTGGATTTGGGGCTTCAGTGGCTGATTTTGCTGAGACCAGAGGGGGCCCTATCTCCATGGGGACACCTACCCCTCTGGCATGTAAGGGATGCCCTGAAATGGCTTGGTGGGGCTCACAGGTACCTCCCACCTCCAGGTCCCCCATTGCTGAGAGATACAGTGGCCCATACATCCCAAAAGATGCCAGGATAATCAGGGGAAGGCAGAAGCTTGCAAGCATGTATAGAAAACTGTCTGTAAGGGCACAGATGTCACTGATCTGTTGCCCAGTAAACACTGGGAACCACCACCAGTTAGCCACCTCCAGGCTCCCATTGCAGTCAGATAGCAGGCTGTCAGTTGGAGCATTGTGGTATGAGCAGCAGTGCCACGTATTAAAACTGTTCTGCAATAAAAATACTCTCCATCGGAATCCAGTAAGAGGGTATTTGCAGACCAACACTAGCCTCTTAAAAGTACCATGCAACACAGGCATGCTGTAGCAGAATTTGCAATACTTTTCAGACCCTGAAAATGGGTTTTTGACCTTTCTTATTGCTGGCTTTAAGCTAGCACCCCAGGTAGTGCCTGGGAATTTACTGGCTTATCAGCACTTTTTTCCCACCCTTCCCCGGATGCCATGGCGTGCCCATCACGACGCTGTGCAGGGCGGCCGGCTGGCAGCGGTTGTTGGCAGCTGCCTGGCTGCCAGGGCAGTGTTTCACACCTCGACTCCCGCTTGTGTTTTCCTGCCCACAGGTGCCGCTGCCCGTGAGAGCTGCTGGGAACTGTGTAGGACAGCACCGGGTATGTCCCCATCTGCCCTATCTGGACCCCAAGGGGTGCCCTGCAGCAGGGGCACGGGGAGGAAAAGCCTCTTTTAGAGGGAACCCCAGTGAGGCGTGCTGCCAGGGCAGTGTTTCACACCTCGACTCCCGCTTGTGTTTTCCTGCCCACAGGTGCCGCTGCCCGTGAGAGCTGCTGGGAACTGTGTAGGACAGCACCGGGTATGTCCCCATCTGCCCTATCTGGACCCCAAGGGGTGCCCTGCAGCAGGGGCACGGGGAGGAAAAGCCTCTTTTAGAGGGAACCCCAGTGAGGCGTGGAAAGAGATGGGCAGTCCCCTTGCGTCTGAGTAGCCCTTACAAATCACAGGGGAGGGGAAATGTGTGATGTGCTCAGGTGAGGGAAGGGATTCCCCCTGCTGCCTGCTCCTCTGCCTCTGCCCAGCCCCAGAGCACAAATACTTGCTGTACCCACAGGTGACATTGTAAAAGTCCCAAGCCAAGCTGTTATGGGGTTTTGTCAAGGTGCGTCAGTGTAAAATGCATCAATAACAAAATTCAGATTAGTGTGGAAGAAAATTCCTGGTTTTGTCTATTGGAAGGCAGCTGCTGTGCTTCCAGCACTTCGGTTGCTGTTGCCCCATCACTCATTTCTGATCATCAACCAGGTTGTTTACTCAAGCCATAAGCTACCTTGAAAAAAATCAAACCCACAGCTCCTGAAAGTAAACAAAGGCAGAAAATGAGCCCAAGGGGAAATCAAACCCTGTAGCCCAGGCGGCGAACACACGCATCCTGCCCAGGTCCCTGTCCGTGCTGGTGGCCACAAGGCAGTGTGAGCTACCACCCGCCCTGAGGTCCCACTGGTTGTTGGTGGGACCCTGCTGCGACGCCAGGCGCAGCAAGGGAAGATACTGCCATTGGGTTTAATAAGAAAATTGTGGGTTTTGGTTACTTCTTTCCCCACCAGATACTGCTGAAAGGCTGCAATGCCAACCATGGCTTCTACGTTTTCAAATATGTCTACTCATTTTCGACGCGGAGGAACCAGACACAGATAAAGGTGAGGAGGCAGCCAGGCACCTTGACAGGACCGACCCCAGCTTGGCTGTGTCTCCCCATGCAGCCGGTGAGCACTGAGGCTTGCCCTAACCTCTTCCTTGTGTGTACTGCACAGAAGGAAGAGGCTAACAGCCAGAGCACTGTCTCTGGTCACCAGCTGGACGAGGACAATGCCAGGTGGGGGCCATCGGAGAATGGGGCAGCCCCAGAGCGAGGTGACGATGGCAGCACCAATGTGATGGAGAGTGAGACCGGCCTCAAGCCCAAAAACCACAGTGCCCAAGGTGTTGGCAGGGATGCTCACAGCCCTCACCCGGGCACCGGCATGCAAGCACGAGGTGGTGTTGGTGTCGCAGGTCCCACCCTGGCCAGCTTGGAGGGAAGCGGTGACCTGGATTTGGTGGTTGAAGTCGATGGTGGTGTTTCCCTTGTCCCCCAGAGCAGACACCCCAGCAAGGCCATGGAGGGGAACAGATCTGGTGTCAAGAGTGAGGAGGACAGGAACGATGGTGCCCCCGGGGGGGTTCCAGTGGAGGGGGCCATGACAGTTGGGAGGGAAAGGGCCCCCACCACCACAGGAGCTGTGGACGAGGGCAGTGGTGAGGCCACTGTCCCTGGCCAAGGGCAGGAGGGTGTCATGCAGGGCACAGGGATGGGAGGCACTGCTCTCACCTCTGTCACTGAAAAGATGGAGAACATCCAAGTTGACACCAAAGGTGTGGATGAGTATACTTACATCCCCGACTCAGGCAGCATCACTGTTACCCGCGGGAAGGTGGGCAGCACAGCAAAGGCCACCAGCTTCACCCAGATCTCTCCGGACAAGGACGACAAGGTCAACATCTTCATTGGTAGGGCTAAGGTCCACGTGGGGGAGCAAGAAACCAGCCAGGGTGGTGGCAGCAAGGATGGCAACATTCCCACGGCGGGAACAAGCAGCCCCCTGCCTGGGCTGGGCATCACTGTGGCACACGATGGCAATGACAATGATGGCATCCCTGCTCACGGGCAGCCTGAAGGACCTGTCACGACAGCCATCCCAAGCCATGGGGACAGCGTCACCAGCAGCTCTGGGGACAGCCATCCCACAGGAGATGGTGAGGATGGTCACACCAGTGCTGGTGATGGAGCAGGACCAGTGGCCCCCGGCCCCTGGAGGGTTGCTAGTGGTGACATTACTGTCCCCGCGGGGGCTGGCACCCGTGGGAATGGTGATAGTGAGGGGAGAGGTGAGAGTCAGAGGTCCGATGGGAGGCTTGGACACCTGGCTGTCACCAGTCCCCTCCAGCAGGCTGACGAAGAGGCCACCGCTGCTGTCCCAGCCAAGGGGGTCAGGGTCCGCCTGGGGGCCACCATGGCCTCCCCCGGCGTGAGCAAGGGGGACTGTACCACTGTCCTGGGGATGGCCGGCGGCCGCAAGGCAAGCCAGCACAGCACGG